TTAAGTGTGTAGACAAAGAATGTATTGTGTGTTTCTTCCGAATATGAAAACTCGTCATTGTTGTTTATGAAAATACAGATTGTAATAGTAGTTATTTTTTATATATGAAAATAAATTATTTAGATATTATTAATTTAATTATATTAATTAAATATTTATATATTTATAATACGAATAGAGGACATGGGTAGTTTCAAATCCTGCCTCCGCCACACCTTAGATCCAACATATAGTGAAAATTCACACACACTTATATAACATCAAAATTCAAAGGTTTAACTTAGGATTCCAAAAATCGAGTTAGGCGAAAAGAAAAATCGAAAAATAGGCGCATCTCGCAATAATAATAATAATAATGACCCGTTTTTCTTATCAAACTAGCGTCAAAATGGGTCGACCTGCGAGTTGACAACCTTGATTTCAGCCATACTAGTATACCCTTAATTTTCATGGGTCCCTTGTTGACTATATGGTATTGGTACCTCATCACAAATATGTCTGTCAGGTTCGCATCTCAACCCCGCCCGTTCATTCATCTACTACTATTTCTGGGTTCTAGAATGTGCCCCAAAAATGTATTGGCCGGTTATTGGTTCCCCGTAATACTTTTGCCCCAACTGAATTTAATAATATGTGACTCCATTTTTGGCCTTTCAAAGGCTTCCCTTTCTTTTGTTTGAAGTCTCCCTTTCGTTCAAATCGTTGGCCCGGGTTTTTGCATCAGGTACAGATGCTCACCCGAGCGGGTCGTTGTGGGAAACTTTTGGAGTGACACAGTAGAGTAGACAAAGTGCTCTTTCTTTCTTCCTTTTCTCTTTCTGTGTCTTTGCTTTTATCTTTGCTCAGCGATGTTGTTTGTTTGACACTCAGAAATGGGAGGTTTGGTTTTTGGATATTTCTACACAGTTGGGCAAGTGAATGCCACGTACTTACTGCTCATTCAACTCCTCCGGCCACTCCATCACCTTATTTGCTTAGCTCTTTTTTGCTCGAGGACTTTTGGTTCCTCTTCTCGTGATAGGACTTTTTGAACAATAGTGACACAAAAAAAAAAGCTTGACAAATTCATAAGAATTGGATAATTTGCTCTTAGTTAGAAAATTTTATTAATAATTATCTTTAAAAAAATATATAGACTACATAGAAAGTAAACTCGAAAGTAGTCATGATGGTTTTAATTCTCATGTCTAACAATCGTAAGATGAGCCTTTCTACTATACTATGCTTTAAAGTATTGGTGCTTTAAAGTAAAACTTTCAGTTGTACCACAACGTTAAAGGTACAACTTAGAGTTGTAGCATAAGGGAATTTGATCTTTATGTTGTGGTACAACTTCAACTCTTCAAGTTGTACCATAACTTAAATGTACAACTTTAGTTTGTACCATAAAGGGATTTTACAAAAGAGTATAGGTACAACCTAAAGTTGTACCATAACGTTAAAGGTACAACTTCAAGTTGTACCATAAAGGCATAAACTAAAGCACCAATACTTTAAAGCATTGTAAAATTCCTCTCGTAAGATACCTCTACTTTTAGATAAATTTTACAATGCTTTATAATATCGGTGCTTTGAGCTAAAAAAACGCTTCATAGTAAAAACTGAACTTGTACCTTTTAACGTTATTGTACAAATTCAATTTGTATCAATATCCTTTAATACAAATTATTTTATGATACAAGCTGGATTTTAACATTTATATTAAGATCAAAACTAAACTCGTACCGTAACATAAATATACATACTAAACTTATATTTTTAACGTTATGATACTAATTCAATTTCTGCCTCGAAACAATTAACTTCTTATTTTCCAGCATGTTTTCTTTTATCGAGCTCTACGACACGATGAAAGGAAAACAAAGAGGGTTAGAGTGCAAGTAAGACTATGAAAGCATGCAACTTCAGTAGTTATTTGGTTTTACTGGACTCTTGCAATCAATGTCTGAAATCGAGGGAAACTTTGTCTGCTTTCTTCTCTACCTATCCATTTGACGATCTAGGAACTAGGATTATCCAAACATACTTATTGATTGGTAATTATAAATCGAAAATATACTATATTTTCATGTGCGAAGCCATTTCAAAGAACATATACGTAAATATCTAATTATAACAACCAGCCAATAATATAGTGAACTTGAGAAGACGGAAGTGATCAGTAACTATGTGAGGTAAAAGATGGGAAAAAAAATCGTTTGTGGTAATCAAAGAAGGCAAAATCTGATCTCTACAACAACCCAATCCATTAATCCAAAGTATTAATAGCAAATCAAGATTGGATAGGGGAACCAATTAACTAAGTAAGTAGCAAATCATAGTAATTAATCCACTACTAATTGTTTTCTAGCGGGCCTTAATTGGCGTACCATTCCAGACGTCAACAATGACGCCAACTTACTACCACCCCTAATTAAGATCGCTCCAGCTGCTACCCTTATAACTTTATTTTAGTTAATCACCCCAAAAATCAAAGACAAAAAAAGTGTCCTAATTAAGGGGTTGGGGGTCCTTCCTCGCAATTGCTAGCTAGCTACTAAAGTGGGTAATCTTTTACAATTTAACCCATCTCGAGCCACGCATGGACGAGGACCCCTAGCTAGCTTTTTTGCGAGTGAGTGTGGGAGTCTTTTACTTTTTTTTTTTTTTTTGCCCCCAAAAAGATAAGAGATAAAGGAAAGTCTCTACTTAATTATATTACAATTAAATTAAGTACTTCATTTAATTAATTAATTAATTAATTAGCAGGTACCTTTTGAAAGGTGATGAGTTGGCGGCCTATGGCGGGCTTGCTTGCCTCGTGGGTAGTAGTATTTTTAATTATTTAATAGACGTACGGGATTAATTTTGGTTTAATTTTAAGTTAATTAATTTACTACCTCTATTAATTAATTCACGGCAACCGGCTGTATGCTTTAGAGGACGATGAGAGACGGTGCCACCCAATTGGAGAGCATAAGTGACTTGCGTGTCCAAATCCAGAGGCAACCAACCATTATATATTTTACATAGATCAAGGTACGTGGGATCCCAATCCTTTAGCTTGCTAGCTTTAGCTACTTGGAAATTACCAGATTAATGTGCAGTGTATAGTATATCCATGCCTTGTCGGTTTGGTTCGGTTAATCGAACTGAAAGTATGATAAAATGAGAAGCGATTAAATGAGCTAGGATGTTTCCTAAGAATCAAAATCGAACCCGTTTAGAAATTTTGATTTTTCGGTTAATTTCATGCACCCCAATTAAAACCGAGATTCCTTGTATCTCTCACCTAGTGTTTTCCGGTTTCGATTTCTTATTGATTTTTTCGTTTAAACATAAACTGATAATAAATGCACAAACCAATTTGGGATGTAAAAAAGAAAACCAAAACCGATATAGTCATTATTAATTCAATTTCCATTTAAACCAGAAAACCGAAACCGATATCCCAATCCCAATAGTAACTAAGGGAGGGAGGAGGAGGTAATGTGGTAATGTGTATTCTTTTGAACCTCTCATCTGTAGTACTGTTATTGGTCTGATTAATTTGAATTAATAATGATGAACTAATGATTTTTTTTACGAATAACAAGTGATATTGTTGCTTTCTTTGATCATTAGCTAAGATAATTACTTGAAAAAGAAAGCCTAAAAACCTACAATCCGCTCCACATTTTCGTCCCCTATATGGCTATACACAATGTACTTTAACCAATTGGTCTCACTTTTTTGTCTTAATTGCAAGTTTGGTCACTCGAATTGCTACAAAATTTCACGTTTGTCACTCAAATTGATTTATTCCATTTATAGTCATTTAAATTAGTTAAACAGTCCAAGTTCGATCACTCTCCGTTAACCTCCATTAGACTCCGTTAATGACGACCGTTAAGTGATGATGTGGCTAACAAAAAATCACAATCAACATATTTTAACACTAAAAAATGGCGACCCGACCCGCCGCGTCATATTTACCCGCCATGTCAGCCCTACTTGCCCAACCGACGAACCAACCCAATAATTGACCCAACCCCAAACCCGAGATCCGACCCCCTGAACTCAGAACTCAAGTTGAAAACACCATTGAGGGATTCCCTACTGTATATGCTACACAATGAATCCACCATAATTCTAATAAACGAAGCAGAATTCAACTTCGGCGCTGCAATAGTTGTCAGCAACCAAACAACAACCACAACACAATAAAACCTAGCGACGATGGGCCAAAAGAAGAGGGAGAAAATTCAACTACCAGCGGCGGAGTGAAGCGATAAGCGAGGGTGGATCTCTCCCCTTCCTTCTTTGCGAAGCGAATAGTACAAAGCCAAGAGTCCTCCCACTAACAAAACAGGGAAACGAACGCTACCCGGTGAGACAAATAAATCGAATGAGAGGACTCATAGGAGAGGACCAGAGACTAGACCCCCCTGAATCTAGCCCTTTTTATAAGTCTACCCCCTCTAAATGAAGAACGACACCTCTCTAACCATTTGTTCTCTTCCTCCTTTTGAATTAATCTACCCGAGAATCTAGATTCAGGGGTCGGGTCTCGGGTTTGGGGTTGAATCAATTATTGGATTGGTTCACGAGTTGGACAAGTAGGGCTGACATGGCGGGTATTAGCTAGTCATTAATTGTAGGATTTTAGAGTATGAATAGAGTAGTATATACATTAATATATACATTGATCCAATCCAATGGATGGATGAAAGTGTAACCAGGAATCCCGATGCATATAACTCTTCAAAGTTCCCCAAGTTAAAAAAAGGGAACCAAAATACTTAATTGCTGGTTGGTTATTTATCACCACCATTACCCGATCGAGTCAAAAATAAAACAGTAAAATCTTGTATTATCAACAACTAAAAAACAAAGACCTTACTTTGCAGTAGTCTCCGAGATAATTCATTTATCAATATCTTTTTTCCCCTCCTTCCGACTTTAAAGAAAGAAAAAAAGAGAAAAAAGAATAACAACTCAGCAAGCAACCTGTTCATCCCATCATCAACAAAAACTCTAAAAAAGCAAAACTCAGTTAGTCTCCTTCAACTCCTTCACTCTCACATAGATTATTTATGTTAGCTCCCCCGCACTATATAAACCCCCATCCCTCCCCTTAGCCCGCCCGCCTCATGTTTCCTTCCACAAATCAGTTTCCCAGAAACCAAACAACACTCTCTCCCTTAACAATTTCAACACGCACGCTTCCCACACATCAAAAACCAACAGCCGTCGTCAACAAACAGATGGCTCTAATCTCACAACTCTATCCCACCACCGCCGACTCATCCGCCGCCGCCGTCTACTCACAACTACTCGTCCCCCAACAAATACAGGAGAAAGTGAAAGCGGGTCGACGAAGGAGGAAGAAGAACAAAGGAGGAGATGGGTCGGGTTCGTCGGGGAGCGGGTGGGCGAAGAAGAGGAAGCTGAGCGAGGAGCAGGTGACGATGCTGGAGCTGAGCTTCGGCAACGAGCACAAGCTGGAGTCCGACCGCAAGGACAGGCTGGCGGCGGAGCTCGGGCTCGACCCTCGCCAGGTGGCGGTTTGGTTCCAGAACCGGCGCGCTCGCTGGAAGACCAAGAAGATGGAGGAGGAATACGCCAAGCTCAAATCCGCTCACGATCACAACGTCCTTGACAAATGCCGCCTTGAGTCCCAGGTACGTCAGATTTATTCAATCTCCCTCTCTCTTTCATTTTTTCTTCTTCCTTTTATTTAATTTGTCAATATTACTTTCGGTTTATCTATCTAGCTTCAAAACGTCTCCTGGTGGTAATTATGTTATGACCCACCATTTTTTTTTTCCAAACGTGCATGAGCAACAGTTCTGGGCAGGCAGGCTCCATGTGTAAAAAGAAAAGAAAACGAAATGCAACATCTTGAATTTGATTTGACGCTCTCAATTTCAATTCGATTGGACCAAAAAAGAGTTATAAGGTGGATGAAAGCTATGTTCATTCAAAAGTAAATTAATGATTTAGATAATTGACCCCAAAAATTGTGTATAGGAAGAAGAAGAAGAAGAAAAAAAAAAGCATGGTCTAATCTAATCTACCCCCATTTTTTTCCTTTTTAGAAATTTCTGGACCTTTTCTAATTTTTGGGCAAGTTTATTCCTTTACATAAAAAGACCCGCACTGAGAACAGTGAAGTGATGAGGAAGACAAAAATATCAAAGGAAGAATTGGTGGTTCATATTGGCACGAGCACACACAACAATGGACTTATATATGTCACGTCCGTACAATTCATGTCTGTCAGACTATGGCTTATCTATCTAGCTTCTGTCGGTCTTTTTTTACCTTTTAAGGTTACGGCCTATACACGAACACGACTTCATCATCTGGTTTTTTTTACTGTGCCCTTTTCACATTCACGTGTGTCTGTTTGTCACAGTTTTACCAACCAAAAGCAACGGTTAAAACTAGAAGGAGTCCTATGATCCTATCATAATAAATTCATGGTAATAAATTCGCAGGTTTTGAAGCTGAAAGAGCAACTATCCGAGGCCGAGAAGGAGATCCAGCGGCTGTCGGCGGAGCGTGCTGACGTGGCGGCGGCGGGCAGCAACAGCCCGAGTTCTTCCATGACGATGGAAGCCATGGAGTATCCGCCGTCGGCGTTTCTCGGAGGAGTCGGAGGAGATATGTTTGGAGTTGTTGAGAGCTATGAAGATGAGTTCTACTACAACATGGCGCCGGAGGCTGCTTACGCCGTTAACGGGATGGAATGGATATATATGTGAAATATTATTTCTACTTAATTACTCTCCAAAAATGTATTAATTAATCGAGGGATTAAGTATTTGACGTAATTAACGTTCATTAGTAATTATTATCCAAGTATTTCTAGGATATATATATATGTCATTGTAGATATAGCTATAGCTAGCTACCAACTAATTGTACTGATCATGATGCTGATGAGATGTTGATGATCTCTCTCTCTCTCTCTCTCTCTCTCATGTAAATATTAATTATCTCTCTCTCTCTTCTCGATGGATCGTACCCTTGTAGTAATTAACATAGTAATTAGTGTTCTCTAATCTTAATTGCCTTTCTCCTCCTTTCTGGTTTGTACATGTGATTGCGTGGGGGGAAACTGGATTGTTAATTAGTAAATGATTAGTCAAATATTATTATCGTACCAATCAATTAGATGATTTTGGTGCATAGCTCGTTCTGTGTCTAGATGATGTGGGAAGCTTATGGACGTCTCTATTCTTATCTCACCTACTTTATCCTATTTTTTCCCACTCTATTAAGTGAATATATTAAATTCATGTCACATGCATTTTGTGCCTACCAAAGCTACATGTCAAAAGGAAACATATTAACATAAAACCTCTTACTTGAGCTTAATGAAAGTTGAAAAGTTCAAATAAAATAGTTAGGGTTCGTTTGGCAAGCACGTTAACCATCAGCTCATGTTTGTTCGTATACATCAATACATGTTATTTAATATTATGTTGTTTTTTTTTTGTTTATTTAGCACGAATATTACTTATTTCGCACCTCGTGTAATCTTACTATACACGCCAACATTCATCCTAATACGTGGAACCCAATGTCACAAATCTTACATGTCAAGCACTATATTATGAAATTACATGAATCTATACAATTTCACTTATGTGTTCTTAAAATTCATATAGCATTCTAGTTACATTATGTGTTTGTCAAACGAACCATTGACATACAAGTCCATAGGATAACTAATAACGAAATAATTATCCTACCTTATCAGTTCACAGTTAACTAAGAGAGTAATTATCTTCATTAAACCGCATGGCTTATTCACCAAGAAAGAGGCAATATTCAGGGTTTTATGCTCCTATTATTAGCGGACTCTTCAGACCCACCATTGAGAGTTTAGAGAGCAGAAAGACTAGATAGTGCTTTTTCAAAGAGCTGTACGATTTCACACAAGTCGAGAGTCATCAGACAGAGTGGTTGTTTTATTTTGTTATGCGCAACACGAGACAGTGCTGCGAAGTCATAAAGAGAACAACCTAGTCCGCGACTTAATAAGATTCGAGAACTATGTTTTTCTGTGTTCGGTTTCTAACCGTAACAACTCTGAATAGTAATATTATTGTGATGGTAGTTAAATAGGTAGGTTACATGCATATATATGTAGCATTGGATGAACGAAGTGGTAGAGAATAGGGTGGCACCTATATTTGGAGCGACATAAAGATTGGGCTTATCCTGATGACCAGAGTTAAAAAGTAAATGAATGGTGGAGGGTATCAACCAGGTAGATATCATGCATGCATGTGGAGGGAGGGGAAAGGAAATCCCTTCTTTGCTTCTTTCCTACATTAAGATTAGATCTTAGATATACATTAGCAATTAACATTCTATCTCTAACTAATTACTTGACTTAATACCTAAACAAACAAAAAAATGACTTCACTTTAATTAATGTACTCATAGTAGGTGTGTTATTTGACGAACTTGGAGAACTTAATCAAGCTATACCATTGGATTTCTTTCCAACTCGAATTACATAGACCTATAGGTTAGGTTTCAGATTCCAGCTAGTTAAACCTAAAGAAAAACTAATTTATCCAGTCGTGATAAATTCCGAATGTATAAATTCAGTGAGTACAGTAGTGACTGCTAATCTTTTTTGTAGTTAACTATCAATTAAGGCAAGATATGGGTTGCTTGAGTTGGGATCAGTTTTGACAAGTGTGCGAGAGATGCTTGCCAACGGCAACATGTGTCTATGATGACATAAAGGATACCCTTTTTTTTTTATGTATGATGAGTTGAGTTGTCTTGAATTTATTGGACAAATCTGCTTAATTCTGCCGAACCAAACCTCCAACTTTGGAGCCCCAAACAGAATTGAAGTGAAACAAGGTTCAATGTTCTGTGTCACGAAAATGGAAACAAATAAAAGGCAGATCGGATTCACGGACGTGTGTTGTTGCTCGTCCCATGAAATTGGGGAGGGAAAAAGCGTCGAAAGCAGAAATGGATAGGGTAAGATAGTGAAAGTGATTTGTCGTCGTTGCTGCAGAGAGAAAAGATTAGGAAGATGAAAGAAGATAGAATCTTCGGGGGGAAATTCTTTGCAAGTTTCACCAGAATGTGTGTGGTGGACAGATCAACAGCAAACGGTAGATAATGTATACACCTTTAAAAGAAAGCCAAATGATGCCATATGACAAGTTTACAAATTATGTTTTCATGTGTAGGGATCGATGGACAATTAGGTGGATGGGGTGGGGTATTTCGGTATCTTTACTCATTGCATGCTAAACGTAGATCATGTTAGATATATATTCATGTGGGTTCGATTCGGATTTGTCAAAACCATCCTCATCCCCACTTTCAAATATCCAAACCTACCAATGCGAGAGAAGGTTTTGCAAACCCATCCCCTTACTCGTGGGTTTCGGATACCCATGGGTAATACCCGTCCCGTACATCCAACATTATGATACCTAAAATTTTATAGTAAATTTTCAATTATAGCATTAAACGAACCTACTATATCACGAAGCCGACAAAGAGAGTATCATTCTTAATACGGTTCAAAGCAAGCATTTTATCCTAAAGCATCCATTAATCCATAAGATAGCGTACTATTAAATCCAAATCATTATTTTCTGACGCTGATACATCCACTAAGTAATAACTAACTAACATAATCTTGTTAACACGAAGGGAAAAAGTGAAAGAGTGAAGGCAAAGTGGAGGAAAAGGAATTAGGTTTTGATTTGGGTGACCACTCAATTGCATTTACACTATTTATCTTCTTGATTTACCCACACTATTATTGATAGGTTACATTTTGATCCATGTATTTTTGTATATGTGAAGAAATGCTTTTGGTAGGGCGGGTATGGGTATGAGGCGGGGGAAGCTAAAACTATACCCTTCCCATACCCATCAAATGTGTTGCGGGTTTGACCCATACGCGCCCCATACACGGTCAATGCGGGAATTACCCACGTTGACTGGGTCGGGGGAAGTCGGATACCCGCGGCCATGGATTTGATTGCGATCCCTACTCCTGGTACCTACAAATTTTAATTGGGTGTCCATTTTTGTTGTCCCAAATCGAAATTTAGGGTGTTATAACACATGCATCTCTCCTTATTTTCACAAATAATATGCTCTGTGATCTCACAATTCACTAACAAATATTCATATATTTGTTTCACCCAAAAAAAAAAAACATTCATATATTTGTTAACTTATTTACTATCCGAGCAATCCAACATTCCAAACTGAAATTATATATCAACATCAATCTCCAATAAAAGAAAACTCTATGTTGAGGTTGATGGTTAAGGAAACACAAAATCTAGTTTCCAAGAAACAAAAGAAAGTATCTCCCTCTATATCGCAGAGAATTTAACACAAAATCTATGTTCTATCTAAAACAAAAAGGAAAAGTTGAGCAAGAAGAAAAAAGGGTTTGAAGAGATTTCATTTGTCTTGTTGCATTAGCTACTTCTCACTTTGATCTATCAAACAAATGTCTCGCCGGAGTCGTCAAAAGAATAAAAAGAACAAAACAATGGCTCCAACAATGGTATACGACGATGTTTGCGAGGAAGAGGACATGAGCATCATCACCTCTTCCGAGAATAGCCATTTCATCTTCACAATTGATACAAGATTGTTGATTGACCCTCGTCTAGTTTTTATCCACAAATTAATTGGCGAAGGCAATTGCTCCAGGGTATATGCAGGAATGTATGTTTTCTTCTTCTTCTCATTTCCTATTTAGAAATTAAGAGTTCTACGATAAATCTTTTATTATATTTTGTTTTTCTTATTATGTGTTATCATACATATATATTTGTTGGGGGAAATTATGTTTTTCATAGCATTTATAAGCACAATATGAGCAGGATCAACTAAACGTTAGTGAAAGGTTATTGAAAAATTTGTATTCTCGTGTGTTGGAAATCAAAATTGTAGATTAATATGCTTCAAGTGGTTAACGAATATATGATAATTAATTCGTCACAAGTAGTTTTACCTGCCTGGAAAATATGTTAGGGATAGATGCTTAAGTTTTCACATGTAACTGAAGCTTGAAACTTTATACACAAAACCCAATTTGAATATCTATAATATTCTTCGAAAATAATTTCTTTTGTTTATTCCGTAATCATAATGTTCACTATACCCAAAACTATTTGCTATTATTTCTATACAAAATTTCCAACAATTATCATCCTTGGTTGCAATGACTTATAATATGTTTTTGTTCATCACTTGATTATTTAGGTTCGAGTCCAAACCGGTTGCTGTGAAGGTCATCCAACCAATGAGAACATCAGATGTTCTCTTCGAACACAAAGAGAGATTCGAAAGAGAAGTCACCATACAGTCAAAGACCAATCATCCAAACATTGTCCAGCTAGTTGGAGCATCTGTGGATCCCGCCATGTTCTTAATCACGGAGCTCATGTCCGGTGGAACCCTACAGAAATACCTGTTGAGTGTCCGCCCCAGCCGTTTGGATTTGGAACTCTCTCTTAGCTTTGCTCTGGACATTTCACGTGCAATGGAGTATTTGCATGATATCGGCATCATCCATCGCGACCTCAAACCCGGTAATGAACTAGTAATTGTAGTCATTCGCAACATTCATGTAAACAAAAACTAACACATTTACTTTTACACTTCAACATTGGTTCTTTTCAGGCAATTTACTGCTCACGGAAGACCACAAGAGTGTGAAAGTGGGTGATTTTGGACTTGCAAAGGAGTTGATGACAAATGAAATGACGTGCGAAGCTGGAACCTACAGATGGATGGCGCCTGAGGTGTTCAGTCGAGAATCACTCCAAATTGGAACCAAAAAGCATTACGACCACAAGGTGGATGTCTACAGCTTTGCAATCATCTTGTGGGAATTACTCACCAATGAATCTCCATACAAAGGAAGAAACATGCTCGCTATAGCCTATGCCGCCATAGCCAAAGTATGTCTGTTTTGATCATCATGAAATCCATTTAAAAATATTCAAACTCAAGATTATATATTCACCATAAGTGGATATATGGCATGCAGAAAGAGAGACCTAGCTTGGAGAACCTTCCAAACGACGTCGTCCCACTCCTACAATCTTGTTGGTCCGAGGACCCAAGCTGTCGACCAGAGTTCACAGAGATCACACGTCACCTAGAAGATGTGTTGGAGAGAATCAAGGGTTCTGAAAACTCGTCGTCTTTCAACGATTCAACGATGGCAACTATTGACAACCATAGTAAAAGTAATAGTGATGAGACAAAGGATCATGAACAACTAATTGTGAATGGTAAAGGTGGTCATATGATAAAAAAGTCGGTTGCAAAGGTGAAAAAGAGTAAACATGGAACACCGTTCTTTATTTGCTTCAACGATTGCTTGTGTGAATAGTATTGTTTTGTTGCGTATTTATTTACTAGGGCATGTGAAAGAACAAATATCAGAGCCTCGTGTTCTCTTTTGTGTTTGTGAATATTTAAGGAACACGAGCGCGATTATAGATTTAACGTAATTCATGTTATGTAGAACACCTACATGTTTTTGGTGGGTTGTTGTACATTACTATTTGATAGGTATCTTATTGTATATTCTCTACAAACTTCTTATTCAGGAAATGTAAATTAAAGAGGATTTGTATATAACTAATTCATTCATATTGCTGAAATATAATAAAATTCTTGATTTATGCAGAGTTATTAAAATAGCTGATGTGCAATCTAGGCTTATCTAGACTCTTACCCAAGTCCAAAAAATTTCATGAACTCATTAAAGAGCTCCTTGATAGGTCATGGAACATGGATCGTTAGAGATAGAAATGTGCATCATGAGTAAAACCATGCCTCTATTCCTTTAGCTATTAAGGGCAGGGGCAGACTCATGGCCATTTAAGGGTATTCTCGGACACCTCTAAATTTGAGGGACGAGATTTATTGGACTTTACTACGGTGACTTGCATTTTTAGGTTGACCTTATATAGGATTAGATCGACCTAATATGACGTTTCAGTTTTGTGAGGTTCAACAACGCGGTTGACCTTTTATAGCAAATGGTCTACCTCTTTGGGAAGCGATGTGGGTGGTTCTTTTACTCGTACAAATTACGTTTCAAACCAACAGAATCAGTCATAAATAATGATAACAATGACTCATAACTTCCTAACATAACAACTAAACAAACTAACAAGAAATACAATAAAACACAAATCATAATTGTTCACACATAACTAAAATCTAAAACCACATAATATCAATCCACAATCGTTTTTAACACTTAACAATAAAAACTCACAATCTAAAATCGTCGAGTTCCTACTCCTATGACATGCATGTATCTTCCACTGAAAGATCGAAACTCATCTCGCATCTCATTCACGGTCACCTACAGCGTGCTCATATGGGTGGTCATTTGCCCCATGTAGTCGTACATGCCAGTCACCTGGTTGGAAATCTGGCCCATGTAGTCGTACATGTCATCCATACGCTTCCCAAGAGGTCGACCATTTGCTATAAAAGGTCAACCGCGTCGTTGAACCTCACAAAACTGAAACGACATATTAGGTCGACATAATCCTATGTAAGGTCGACCTAAAAGTGCATATTAGGTCGACCTAATCCTATATAAGGCCGACCTAAAAGTGCAGATTAGGTCGACCTAATCCTATATAAGATCGACCTAAAAGTGCAAGTTATGGTGACATGCATGTCACCATAGGCATACCCAGATTTATTTTTACCCCGACTTTAATTTGTGAATCATCGACTTTCTACTAATAGTTTGAATTCAGAGGAAAGAAGAAAAAAAGGTAATAGTGTTTTTTATTCGAATCGTAACTTGTAATAGTTAGATAAAGTGTTATTCAATACACTACAAACAATTTGTTGTTATATTCGAAACATAAATATAAATAGAATCTAAAAGAAAGTATAAATAAATCCAGTTTTTCAAAATTTTCGTCCAACGCCGCCTAAAAACTAAATTATCTATCACCACCCTTTTGATATTGACAAAGTTTGCATCACACTCAGGTTGAATTGTTTTAATCGGTTCTTGGTATGCAACTACAAGATTTGAACTACGTACTATTTTGATGAGTGAAGACTAGGTTGTGACTTTTATTACTTGTCTTAGCCGCGAGAATGAGTAAGCTGCTCTTAACATGGAGAAGCTAATAAGCCTTACTTAATTTTATCCTAATAAATTTGGTCACCTTTCTTAGTCATTTCTATTATGACACTTCGGAAATTTATCAGTATGTCAAGAATTATGAGTCCCTTTCTTGGGTTAAAAGCATTGATTTAGTTTAGTTTACAGTGAAGATAAAAGTGAATCTATGGTATTCATCAATTTATTTTCTTATCAAACTTGTATGGAGTTCATCATTTGCAATTGTTGTTGAAAGACGTTTTTTTGCTTTGGGTTGCATCTAGAAAAAACTTCGAAATTGGATAGGTAATTACTTCGTGAATGATTATTTAATTGAATATATTGGAATTTTTATTTAACACGGTACATACTCAATGTATTTTACTATCTTTTTACAAATATGAATACACTTCGATATTTTGTTGTAACGTCAAACATGTACCAATTGATATCACCAAAAAAAGAAAAAAAACATGTACCAATTGAGTATTGTCTATTTTAAAAAGTGAAATTATCTGTTAATTCAGAAGATGACAACCCTGGCTTATATCTTGGATCCGCCAGTTATTAAGGAATATTTTGGGGTCTGAATCAGGTCAGTAAGGCTTCAAATACGGTGCATAACCATTATTAATTAAATTTGAACACTTGATTTAGAAAATTCTGAACTAGGGTTGGAGAATTATAGACATTTTTATTTTTCAGTGTTTTCTTAATTGGCTCATATCTTCTTCGTTTTAATTTAGATTTCTTTTTTTTTTTTTTGCATAGATGGAACGAGTTCGTTGTGCTCTATAAAAATGAGATCCATATTCAATATTTTTTGAGAATTTTTTTTCTTGCCTCTCATTACCAACTGAATACCATATGGTATCTTCTTCGTCTTTAAACCGTTTATGAAATTTTTTGCACAGAAGGAATAAGTTCATCATGATCTATTGGATCTAAAAATATCTAGGTGAACAACATACAGGACCAAAAACTACCACACAATACCACCCTGGTACAAGGTGGTATCTTGTGGTACACAATATTAAAAGTCGTAAATGACAGTTAGTATACTCCTACTATCATGTATTTAATCATCCTACAGTCTTAGTATGTTCATATCACCATGGTACTCTTTTCATACCATATGATATGTTCTTATTTCAATACCAGTCAATACCATATGGTATAGACTGGTAAAAAATTGCTCAATTTTTTGCTCCAAAAATTTATCAAAGTGGATATCATTTTGAAGAGCACAATTAATTTAATCTAACTGTGCAAAAAAATTAAATTACAACTTAAAACGAGTGAGAAATCGTACGTTAAAGATTAAATGGGGAAAATTAAAGGCTTTATAGGAGAGAGTATGAGTGCTAATGTGGCGGATGGTGATTGGGTTATGCATAGTTACTCATCACAAGGTTACTGACCGGATTTGTTCCCGGGCAATAACCTCAGAGTCAGTAACTGTGAGTAACCTGTCCACATCAGCGTGACATCAGCATCTTCTCTTTTATGGACGGTCTTTAATCTTTTCTCTTTTAATTTTTAACGAACGATTTCTCTCTCATTTTCATTCGGAATTTAAATTTTTTTGGACAGATAAATCAGATTAATTGTGCTCTTTAAAACGATATCCATTTTGATATATATTTAGAACATAAAAAATCGAGACATTTTTTACGAATCTATATCATATGATATTGACTGCTCAGTCTATGCCGTCGTGGGGGTGACAGAGTATCTTGTTTGGCAGGCAGTTAATGGTCAAGGGTCTGCGTTGGCAGATTGGTAATGGGCGGACTGCCCCCTTGCTCCATTCTAGCTGGATTCCACGTATACACCCAAACATCCATGTATTTAATCCTCGAAAATGCAGTCAAAATCGGGATTTTGATCGTAAAATCGTAGAATTTTAGGATTTTACTTAGGGATTCCGATCCTGATTTTACTATAAAATCGATGGACCTTAAAATCGAGATTAAATTGTAAAATCGTACAAAAATCGGGATGATGATCGTATGAGAAAAAAAATAGGTCGTTTGAGCCAATTTAAAAGAAGCATAACTGTTACGGGAGAAAGGGAAATGACGAGAATCTTCTCAGAAATTTTTCTATTAAAAAATATTTAAAAATAATAAAAATAACCAAATTATGGCTCGATCAATCCCTTTCCCTTCGCCCCATTTAACTTATTGGTAAAACAATTATCCTAATATTGAAAGTACGTAAGAATTAACATCATTATTAACTAATTAATTTATTGATAAATATATTTGTACCAAGCCACTAGCATTACTTATTTTATTGGAGTTCAAATATTTTTAGTTTTAAATTATACTTAGACGATGTCGGAATATTACTTTGAGTTAAATTACCTAGACAACATGAAAACAAGAGATAAACCCATTGAGCTTTATCCCTTCCTCATGAATTATTTTGAGTTACGCATTAAATAACAATTAAAATAGTGATTTTGGAACATTAATCTTGAGAATTATCTTTTGTAAAAAAAATCTTGAGAATTATCATTTTAAATGTTATGTGTCTTTGTGTTATTAATGATTTACCTTATTAATATTACTATAGGTTATGTTCTATATGGTACTTAAAATCCTACGATTTTATGATTCGATTTTACGATTACGATTTTATCCCAGTTCTCGATTTTAGGTAAAATCTCGATTTTGACTACTTTGATCCTCGAGTGCTACCTGAGAGGGGGGGGGGGGGGTCCCAAAGGTAGTGGAGGTGCTCTGTCCGTGTGAGGGTAAGTGGTGCGATCATTAACTTAGCCAGTGGTTTGACCCAGCTACTTGTCGGACGATCAAAGCTATTCCTCTTCCTTGTAAGGAGGTAAGGATAGATTGATCTTGCATGACGCTGGTGATGGGATATTTACGGTTAAGTCAGCTTACCATCTTACAGACTTGTTGGATAAGCAGGAAGGGCGGTGGCGATCCTTGGTTAGTTGAATAGATAGGGTGAGTTGGATACGTTTGTGGGAAGCGAATATTCCACCCAAATTAAAGGTATTTTTATGGAAAATCTTCCATCAGATCCTTCCTACGACGGAAGCCCTTATTGAGAAGAAACTCCAGGTGAAATCGCGATGTCCTGTATGTTCAGCAGAGTCGGAAATAATGGAGCATTTGTTTCTTGATTGCCTATTGGCGAGAGCTTTATGGGATCATTGTGACCTTAAATATCTGGGACAAGCTCTTCCCCACCACATGTTTCCGCTCTTTCTTAAAAGG